AAGAAGGACAGAAATACACATACATGAGCTTTTATATTGCTATAGGAAACTAAAAAAAAACCTCCACAAAAATTCCGCCCCACTTTAATACACGCTGCCACTGTGAGTCTGCAACAGGTTTATCTTCATGGAAGAACTGGTGTCTCAGGTTTTTTGTGGGATAAACATAAGTAGCAGCTAGTATTTCCTGTAGTATTCACTTTAGGTAGTGCTTTTTGGCTGCAGTTCTACTATTACCCTTCCTAGGCCCCCACTGTGTGATAGACTTCTCTGAAGTTTACCACTTTCCTCTTTAAAGTTACCCGCACTCTTCCAGGCTGAGGTGACCGCAAAGCCGAGTTACTCCTTTACGCAGCAGCAGCTGGATGTTTGCATCAGGGCTGAGATGAAAATCTCTTTATTAGTGCTGTTTTCTTGCTCAGTCATGGGCATGATCACAGCTACATCACTTTAGCAGGCAGACAATCGCGTCCTTACCCCCTGTCAGGGCCGGGCCCGCGTTCAGCTGACGTCCCTTTGTGCTCCCACGCACACTGTGAGCATGAGAGACGTGCGAGTCAAAAGCAGGGTGCCTTCTGGATATGCCCATGGAAGTGTAAAATGCTCTCTTGATTTTTTTTATTATTTTTTTTCTCAAAACACAAAAGTTAATGTCAAATTAACCTGAGGCACACTGTAAAAAAGACCGACACTGGTAATTTCAGCAAAAGGATTTGAATGTTTTTCAGGTGTAATGCAGTCTTTGGTTCTGAATTAAATAACATGTGGCTTAACAGGCAGTTTGCTTTGTAATATATAATCGCCATGTGGGCTGTTGACAGCGATTATAATTCTGTTGGCACAGCAAATTATAGGAGTGATTTTAAGTCCAGAGCTCTGTGCATGTGTGCTGCCTGGGGACAGGAATTCAAGCACAATAGCTGCCAAAACAAGGTGGTCTGCAAGATCACAATCAGAGGGTGGATCTGAGTAGAAGTAGAAGCTGACCGCCAGCTGGTTCCTGTATGGAAGACAGGAATAAGGCAATGTGCAGACGCGGGCACCAAGCTTGCCAAAGCTTTAGTCTCAGAAACAATTGATTAATTTAGTCACAGACTATTCTGGCGATGTGAGAACAGCAGGACTGGGCATGTGATTGATGAAACAGCTATTACTGGAAATTAGTATTTATGGTGTTAAAATTCAAAGACAGCCAGTCTTGGAAATCAATTTGTTTGTTAATTTGCTCCTATTTTGGGGAAAGTAAATCTGTTACTCAGTGGGTGTTCTTTATAAGCCTCGTATCGCTTAGTGTTCTTGAGACAGGTTTCGTTCTGCATTCTTAAACCACGGGAAGGATGTCAGAGATAAAATAGTCACCTATCCCAGGTGATAAACCACCACAACATCTTATTCTAAGGGTTGTATGGCCACACAGGAGGGTCCTCGTCCTCAGAGTCTCTGCCAGCCCCGTGGCCAGTGGGGAATCCCCCATCCTGCACAGACATAGCGCGGATCTCGTGTGGAACGTTCCCCACTCCTGCCTTGCCGTGCTCTTATACATGTGGCTCTGTGTGAAGCTGAGCAAGCATCATAATTTTCCAAAGGCATGTCATGCTTTTATGTTGTAAGCTCTTTGTTTACAAAAAAGGCTAATGCACATTTCCTGACTGAAAGGTTTTGCTTCAATAAAACTGAAACAGGCATTCCCGCTCTGATTTCTAAAAATGTGAGGGAGATTTATGTCAAAGGTATGAACTCTCTTTCAAAAGGTGTTCACAATAGAAAATGGAAATTATCCCTTCAGTTTACAAAGAGGTTTTGATGCTACTGGAATGTTTTATTTAATTTTTACAAGGTATGACTGAAACTATTAAAAAAAATAGAGATCAATGAAATCTTGACACAAGTTCTTCACACCGTCTTTTATATTTTTTCAGTTCAGGAATTTACCTAATGCCTCCTGTCATCTGAAGTAAACATATCTATTATGAAAAGTGCCAGCCATCTAAATAAACTGTAAGGCAGGAGAAATACAGTTGTCTGTTTTCATACCTGAAAGTTACTTAAGGAACAAACACCTGACACGCTCAAGGTCAAAGA